TGAAAAGACCGGCGCTTGATTTCTTTTCCTCAATTGATTTAATATGAAACATCATGTATACAAAATTATGGTGGAAAAATATTTCAAATTCAAATTAATTTTCACTGTCTCTTTCCAAGTAATTCCAGCGGGCATATAGGGGAATAGCGAAAGTCTGCATTATTTTGTCTGCCTTAGTGAATTTTTAGAGCATCTCGTGCGCCCTCACACGCATCTATATACAAACACTACTGACTAAAATTATTAGCGCGTTACAATTTTTCTTTTGTAATCTTACTTATTATAAAATGCAGATTGTGTGTGTGTGTGTGTGTGTATGTGTACGTTTATATATGGGATCGTATTTCCTACATTTTTCAACCGATTTCAACAAAACTTCACAGGACTACGTAAAATTATCTTGCGGTGGTTCTGACAGTGACAAAAATGGGAAAAAACACAATTGTTTTTGCACAAAATCAATTTGAAAACACAATTAAGAGGCATTAATGAAAGGGGGACAACTCATATCGAGTCATACTTATTATAAAACCCAGGTTGGTTGTGTGTGTGTGTGTGTGTTCGTTTATATATGGGATCAGATTTCCTACTTCTCCTTTTTTTGGCAGGTAGTGTTTCTTATTGTCTTGCACACTTTTTTCTTTATTTTTACATTCAGAATGCTATAAAAATTCCATTTATAAGACAATTGTTTATAATAAAATTCTATTCAATCGGTAGACTCATAACGATTGAAAACAATGTTTTTGTTTGAGTTTGGGTTCGGCCAATTCGTAAAAAAACAAATAAACAAAAAAAAAAGACATGTGTGTCCGTCAGCCTTAAACAATAATCTTTGTCAATTTTATTTTTCAGTCTTTATGATGGTCGATACTTGATCTATCTCTCACAGTTACATCCCCGGGCAACGCCGGGCTCTACTGCTAGTCATTGACTAAATTAGTACATACATCTACACGTGGCATTTTACTTATATTCTTCACACAAAATACAACTCTTAACATAAGGCTAATATCAATAGACAGTATCTAAATCACATGCAGAACATACTGTAAAACAATTCTTGAAATGATCATTATGTCAATGATGCAGCTCGCATTAAATAAAATAACTTTCACTGCAGATAATATCTTAACATATATATATATATAAAAGATATATATAAAATAAGTAAAATACATATAAAATAGGTCAAGAGGGTGGCTGCTGGAAGAACCTATGTCTGGTAACAAGACTCTGCACGGTGGCACACAAGCAGGAGAGCCCAGACATGGCTATCACACAATTACTGCTTATATCTGGCCACTCAATTCTCCAGACTGCAACTCCCTTAATTCTTATGTGTGGGCGAAGTTGAGCGAGAGACTAAAAGAACTTCTTGTAATACTAAAGGCAAGAATTATGGCATAGACCAACTTAAACAAGGAGATCGTCCAGGAGAGATGTAGGAGATTCCGAAGTGGTTTGGAGGCTCTGTTTAAAGGAAATGGCGATTCTATTGGATAAATTTACCCTTTAATATTTCAAGATATTTTTTGTATAATTTTGGTAAAGATATCTCTTAAAATGTGATGTCAATGTTATTTTCATTTTTGCGAAATTTAGACGACAATTTGTTCATTGCACCCTTTATATAACTTCTTTTTATATGAACCTCAAAAATATCCGTTTTCAAAGTCAAATATTTAGTTTAATTTTAAACCCAGAAAAACCCTGTTTTTACGTTTTTCACTGAACCTGTTAGTATTTCTTGAAATCCGACGTATCTTCAGTGCGTATATATATATATATATATATATATATATATATATATATATATATATATATATATACACACACACACACACACACACACACACACATATATATATATATATATATACACACACACACATATATATATATATATATATATATATATGTATGTATATATAACAAATCTTCTGACTACAAGTTCAGATCTTTACATCTAAGACTCGTCATGCCACGTACCATGGTTTGAATCGTCCTCATTCGGATTCTATTGGCGAAAAGGAAGTTCTATTTTGAGAGTTTCTTCTCAAGAAATCTGTGTAAGAGGTTGCTTCCCAGATCGCTTCAATCTTAACGTCTTCATGTCGAGCGTTAACTATTATATTTCCTACCTATCCTCGTCATATTCACTTCTTATCTCCCCCTCTTACGTTCATACAACAACCACATTCAATAACTCTCCACCTTGAGTGTCTCTTGAGCCTTCTATTGGGTGAACAATATTAAATAAATCTATCTTAAAAATAATTGTTCTGTCATATCTGTTGAATGCAAAGTGTGTTTTCATTTTTGTTTTCTCTTTGCAGCATGTCCGCTCCCCAATTACGTCCTCCCCGTTGCTGTAGTTGTCGGCATTATTCTCATTGGTTTGATCGCTTTATTGATTTATAAATGCGTCACTGAAATCTACGATAGGCGCGAATATGCTCGATTTATGAACTCCAATAAGGAAGCCAGATGGGACAGGGTAAGTGACAATCAGTTATCGACTGCAAATTTCCTTTCATCACAAATATTCATTTCTTTCAGCTTCGAAAGAAATTCATTTTTTTTTTTATCCAACCATTTTTTTTTGTAAAAGCGAATATTTACCATATTTCCTGTCATAAAAGGGGACGTATTTTCACATCCCCAAATCCTCACTTGGCCCATCATCATCATCATCAACAGCAGCAGCAGCAACAGTATCAGCCGCCTCAGATGTAGTCAATTTGCATGATCTTCTCTTGCATGATCTAATTACTCGTCTTATCAAAATATTAACTCATTAATCTCACTTCCGGTATCGAAGACATCGACGAAATCAGAGAAAGTGTCAATGTTTCATCATGATAGTCTTCTTTTCCTCTATCTAAATTCTTTCAAGAACTATTTCTTGAATCATATTTTACAGTAATATTTACGACAATAATTAGCTATTATTATTATTATTATTATTATTATTATTATTATTATTTCAGTTTTATTTCCTTTGATTTTTGGTATATACTCATTTCTTTCCTGTTCCCAACCAGCTATCTAAGGTTAAAAATGGCATCATGACATTTTCCACTGAGCAGTTTTGAAGAAAAATCGCACATATTTTACATAGATATAACCCTTCGTAAGGTGTGAACTGTACTAAGTATAATTTTTTGTATTTTTTTAAGGCATGGGCTACCAATTTTTTGTATTTCTTTAAGGAATGGACTACCATTCCAATAGACTCATCTTCAGTGAGTGGAATCTTTTCCAATCCATTCAACTAATACTGGAATTGTTAATGTCCTCATGTGCCACATTTCGAGTTCAACAACAAAAAAAAAAATACTCAAATCCCTGATCAGCGTCAAAAAAGCCTCACCTCCTCTGCAGTAATTGAGGGGTCGAATACTTATGCAAAATGTATTATGATAATTGATAATTATCGAAATAATATAATAATATCAATTATCTCTTATCAAATCACGTAGTAAACCTTTTCTTTTATTGACGCGAATTGAGTAGGTAAGTGTAATCAAATCAAATACGGAATGATACATTGAACAAAATAAAGAAAATGATTTAATTGCCAAATTTCGATTTCATGGTCCTTGTATTTTGATAGTTTTTGAAGATCTTCAAAGATACAATGCAAACTGCAGGAACTGCCATGTTAATAAGGAAACACATTTTGGCTTTGTGGTCGCTAATTAGGATGTCAGGGCAATTAGCTTTGATTGATCTGTCTCTGTGTATTTATGTCACATAACACTGTTACAAATTCTATCTCTGTAACCGGGTCTGGGTGGTATTCATACAAATTTCTTTTAGTTTCCTTTCCATAGATGTTGAAGATATTCCAGTGCAAATATTAAACCATTTTGTCAGGCCGGGTTTTATATTCAGTGGGTGCTAATACCGTGCAACCTGATACAATTGTTTCAATGTCAATTGTTTCTGGCTATTTATCAAAGAATCTGCATTTTGGACTAACACAATTTTTCAGTATGTGTGCTTTGTAATTTCTAGTAAGCAAGCATTGATCCTGTGCAGCAAGAATAAAACCTTCAGTTTCATCTTTTAACCTTGCACTACGTAGCCACTGAATGGGTACAGGGTATTATTATTATTATTATTATTATTCGTTCTTTCATAAATTGAGTATTCATTCATTGGTTGAAGTCAAATTGTCCTCAATACTGTAGCATTCATCTTTAGACTTTTTTCTGTTTTCAGTAATGTTATTGCCAGAATGGTTTTATAAGATCGGCAAAAGCCTGTCTTGCACATTGTAAACTTCAATGAATAAACCCAATACTTTATTTGATTTGCTGACATTGATATACTCGATTAGTCAAAGTAAAACAGTAAATTATGCGAAATGATAATAAATATAAGAAAAATAAGATTAGTAATTATTTTATTTTCACAATTAGCAATAATAAAATTTGTATAAATCTTTAATAGTAAATGATATGAAATAGTTAATTATGTCATGCATATTAACAACTAAAACTTAATCATTCTTATAGTCATGTTATAATACGAAAAATCATATTAAAAGGCCTGTATACATTTATTTTACAAATTAAACATTCATTAATCTTTGAAATCACAACGCATACCATACATACTCAGAAAACCTGACAAAGAAAAACGATATATATATATAATAGATCAGCCGTTTTCGCTATCTTGGTTTCAAGTTTTCGGTATCTTCAGGCGATTTCGGTCAATTGATTTCTTAACGTTTATATTTTTGTGAAAAAATTTAAAATTACGAACAATATATTTTTTAATAAATAATTAAGTAAATCAAATAATGAATGAATAAAACACACGACGTGAGGTTGTGGTAGAAGGTAAAAGAGATGTGGATGAGGGGAAAAGCAAGTGTATTGGAAATGTGTCGGTGGGGGTTAAATGAAATATATATACTATCTTTTCATCCCAATTCATATGAACTTAAAAGGAAATCTTTAGTATGTATACAACGGGTCATAATTTCTGATCTCTCATTCAAAAGATGTTTTGGTCTAGAAATGTTATATTTACGAAGTCTCTTATCCATCTATATCTAAAAAAATGGTCTGCTTGTAGAATTGTACTTCACCAAAGGCTTCGTAAATATAATAAATTATTTTTTTCCACGACGGAGAAGCTTGGATTAAAAAAAATCCGGCTTCGATGTACCACAGTGTTCGTTTGATGGTACTGAGGTTTCAGAATTAGTAGGCATATATATTTTATATAAAATCAACAAAACTGTACATATAAACAATACCGTCTGTATAGGAATGGCGAACTGATGGTAGTACGAGACAAAAGAACAAATGACATTGTAAGAAAGGCGTTTTTCAAATTCTTCCCAAACTTTGATTTTGAAATAGAAGTCGAGGAAAACTATTATTTGGTTTGATCTCGTTTTTAGAGATCAAATGTAAAATATGGAAAATATTTTTCAAATAAATACTTCCCCCAAAATTCCGAATTACATAAAATATTTAATAAAAACACAGTTAAATTAAGCTACAGTTGTACTAGTAATTTAGAAACCACAATAAAAAGAGAAAACGCCAGAAATTTCAAAACTAACGTACAGCAAAACATCATTAACAGTGAAATATGCAATTGTAGAAATAAAAGTAGATGTCCATTAGATGGTGTTTGCAAAACTGAAGAACTAAATTATAAAGCAGAAGTAATAGATACAAATGGGCAGAAAAATTACGTCGGGTATATTGTGGGTAAATTTAAAAAGAGGTGGTAAAATCACAAGTCATACTTTGATATAGAAAGTCTATTAGACTAGCAAACCATTTGTAGAAATTAAAGGAAAAAATAAAAACTATTCGACTGTAAAATTTTTTTTAAAAATACGACAATTATAGTAACATCTGCAATTTTTGTCAATAAGAATAATTAGCTATAATGACGTTTCCAGACCCCCCACAAAAACAAACAAACTTTTGAATAAGAGATTGGAGATTGTGTCTCGTATATATATACTGAAAAGTTCCTCTTGAGTTCATATGAAGTGGGATGAAAAGAAAGTATATATATTTCATTTACCCCCTACCGACACATTTCCAAATGCACTTGATTTTACACTCCTCCTCACCTTCTACTACACTTGACGTCCTGTGCTTATTAATTTACTAATTTAAAAAAAAATGTATAGCATTCATATTTCTTTTAATTTTTTCCCCCAAAATAAAACGTTAAAAAATTAATTAACCGAAATCGCCTGAAGATATCGAAAAGTTTCAACCAAACTAAACGGTCGAACGCCAAATTATTTGGAAAACGGTACGATCTTTTAAATTTATTTTTTTTAAAATTAATTAAATCCTGAAAATTAACAACTCTGACCATTATATATAAAAATTTTTATATATTTTATATATTTTTTAATGTTTCTTTACTGTTTTTTCCAAGGATCGTTTGCCCTTCATTGATTTTTTTTAGATTTAAATGTCAGTGCTAATTCGTTTGGAAACAAGAATCCAACATGTACCCAGACACATCAAATTAAATTTAGTTAATCGCAAAATTTTCGGCGATCAAACAATAGAAAATGAGAAAAATGTTTCCAAAAATTATATATATAATATATTTTGATATAAATATAAACCATCGCTTTAAACAAAGGAGAATTTTTAAATATTTATTTTTGATATATGAGCAACTATTTTCCTATCTTACTGCTCAGGTTGGTTCATTATTATTAATTCATTATTTACGCATTTATTTTAATCGTAAATTTATTTTAATTTTACGATATATCTTTAAACCATACCATTTTGGCGTTCTTCTCACTTTCATTGTTTGTTTAAAATCATTTGCCAACGAAAGACCCTGATGAAGCGTTGGCCGAAACGTACCTAGGTCCTGCAAAAAAAAAAAAAAAAAAAAATGGTCATACAAAAGAAATTCATTTTCTTTAAATCGATATATATATATATAATCATTAACTTTATTTCGGGATGACTTATTTAACGAAATAACCACTTAGTCGCTCTCGTATATCTTAACTCGGCTAAAGGCAAGATATTGTCTAGTGATAGGATATTGATTTATAATTTCCCGAAAGATAGTACTAAAATTAATTTAAACAGACACATCTTGTTTGTTCCGCTTGTCAATGTCTATATCCATTGCGATATGTTTCATTTCCATGGTAGTAATAATGCAACCAATAATGATACAGACTGATAACTCAGTCGTAGAAAAATGATTGCAGATTCTGACGGCGACACAGCTGTTGGGATTTGTCAGTCTATACTAGCACTGTCGATAAAACGATCATAGAATCAATGAAAAGAATAAATATGTGTTTCCGCTATTGTCGAAAGGCAGCAATTAATTTTCAAGTCTGGGTCAACAGTTTTGGCTTTTTAAACAAAACAATGAAGCTAGTCAATATTTTCTTCAATAATTATTGAAGATTTCTATTTTTTAATTACTTCGAAAAAATCAAAGAATTTTATGGAATGAAATTACAAA